AAAGGCAACTGTGGGCACCCACAATGCACTCATTGGAGGAGCAGGCTGAATTCAGATGTCATCTAATGTCTATGGCGTGGGTGGGCAAACTCCGGCCCTTGTGGAACTACAAATCCCATGAGGCATTACAAGCTTCTCACAGGCATGACTCCCAGAGACAGATGCATGATGGGATTTGTAGATTGCCCAGCCCTGGCCTACGGGCCTGTATAGATTTGTTACGACTCCCAGCAGACAGACAGAAATCAGAATAAAAAAAGAAAACTGCTGCCGTTGTCAGATCCCCTGAGATACACATAAGAGCGTGGTTCAACCCGTCAGCGTCTACATGAACCCGAAATGTCAGTTTTTGGGCGGACGGACCCTTTAATTACTCATTAAAGAAAAAAAAAACTCATGCTAAGTCATCTTCATGGACAGCAAACATGTTCCGTCGTGGTAGAAGACGTCCCACATAAGTCGCTTTTACACACATTTGGTTTATTGCTCCACATTCAGGAGTTCCGTCTCACTAAAAGTTGTTCACGTTTTATGAATGATAAAAGAATACACAACATTAGGAATGCTAAAGTAACCTCTACGCCAGGCAGCTGTGGTACAACTACAAGTCCCATGAGGCATTGCAAGACTCTGGCAGCCAAAGACATGACTTTCAGAGGCAGATGCATGATGGCATTTGTAGTTTCACCACAGCTGGAGGGGCTGAAGTTCAGCTACCCCTGATCTAAACTCTGATGTACACTTCTAAAAAGAAACATACAACTTGTTGTTACATTGTACAAGTATCCGCACACTACGTACAACAGATCCCCGCACTGCCGGAGTCTTGTGTACCCGGCTGTTAAATATCAACCTGTCGGCCTCTAACAACGAAGGGCTGACATATTTCACTGGATTACAGATCAAGGACAGACATGGCCGGCCGAGTGCTGGGGGAAGGAATAGGCCACAGGAAGTAGTAAGGCGGCTGAAACACAAGGACATTGTATATGACTGGCAAGGATTCTCCCAAGGACATGGACACAAGGAACACAACCTCATGGAAAGACACAAAAACTTCACCAACCTTCACTCCCAGATACGCCGGCCTGCGCTCCCAGATGCCGGACGCCGGCCTGCGCTCCCAGATGCCGGACGCCGGCCTGCGCTCCCAGATGCCGGACGCCGGCCTGCGCTCCCAGATGCCGGACGCCGGCCTGCGCTCCCAGATGCCGGACGCCGGCCTGCGCTCCCAGATGCCGGACGCCGGCCTGCGCTCCCAGATGCCGGACGCCGGCCTGCGCTCCCAGATGCCGGACGCCGGCCTGCGCTCCAGGGGTATATACAGTCACAATAATCCCCCATCTTCATCACACTGCCACAATGTGATCAACAAAACATTACTACATACATGTGTATATGTGATACTGAGCGACTTACCAAGAAACACTGGATACAACACTGTGCTACTCCACACTGCACACTATTCTTTAAGGGCAGGTTCACACCATTTTCTGGTCCAGATCTGGTCCGGAAAATGGTGTGAACCTGCCCACAGATCCAGTCCAGCCCACACAAAATGAGACAAGCTGTATATTTCTGGTCTGAGACGGACTGCGCTGGTGTGTACAGAGGCCAGAAATAGCATAGGGATACATTGGGATGCATTTTGGGTCTAGAAACAATCTGGTGTGGAGACGATGTGGTGTGAATGGGCCCTTATAGAGTGCTGTACTATGTGATAATAAACAGCGCCACACTCCCTACAACAATGCGTTTAGTGACTGGTACATGGAGGATGTCCTACCATCACACACTGCATACTGTTCTTTTATAGAGTGCTGTACTATGTACTTCTCTACACTGTGTCCTGGAGGATGTCCTCCATCACACACACACTTCATGAATGAAGTGCTGTACTATGTGCTCATAAATACTGCCACACTTGGCACGACATTGTATACTCCCTGCACTGTTACATGGAGTATGTACTACATCATACACTGTACTATGTGCTTCTCCACACTTACATGGAGGATGTCCTACTTCCGCACACACTCCTATAATACAGCACTGTACTATGTGATACTATACACTCTTACATGTCCTACATTACGCACCCTTCTATTATGCAGTTCTGTACCATGTGTATCTGTACACGGTTACATTTATTTATATGGAGTATGTCCCATCTCACAGCCTTCTATAATACACTACTATGTACTTCTATACACTGTCACATGGAGTATGTCCCATCTCACAGCCTTCTATAATACACTACTATGTACTTCTATACACTGTCACATGGAGTATGTCCCATCTCACACCCTTCTATAATACACTACTATGTACTTCTATACACTGTCACATGGAGTATGTCCCATCTCACACCCTTCTATAATACACTACTATGTACTTCTATACACTGTCACATGGAGTATGTCCCATCTCACACCCTTCTATAATACACTACTATGTACTTCTATACACTGTCACATGGAGTATGTCCCATCTCACACACTTCTATAATGCAGTAATCTACCATGGGCTTCTATACACTGTCACATGGAGTATGTCAACCCCAACACCCTTCTATAATGCAGTACTATGTACTTCTATGTACTGTCACATGGAGTATGTCCTCCCAGACCCTTCTATTATGCAGTCATGGTGTCCATACCCAGAGCTCTCATATAGTCTGTACAGCCTGCTATGAGGTGTACATGCTCTGTACAGCCTGCTATGGGGTGTACATACTCTGTGCTCCAGTCATTGTGTCTGTACAGCCTGCTATGGGGTGTACATGCTCCAGTCATTGTGGCTGTACAGCTTGCTATGGGGTGTACATGCTCTGTGCTCCAGTCATTGTGGCTGTACAGCTTGCTATGGGGTGTACACGCTCTGTGCTCCAGTCATGGTGTCTGTACAGCCTGCTACGGGGTGTACATGCTCTGTGCTCCAGTCATGGTGTCTGTACAGCCTGCTATGGGGTGTACATGCTCTGTGCTCCAGTCATGGGGAGTGCATGCTCTGTGGGTTTCTGTACAGCTTGCTATAGAGTGTACATGTTCTGTGCTCCAGTCATGGTGTCTGTACAGCTTGCTATGGGGTGTGCATGCTCTGTGCTCCAGTCATGGTGTCTGTACAGCTTGCTATGGGGTGTGCATGCTCTGTGCTCCAGTCATGGTGTCTGTACAGCTTGCTATGGGGTGTGCATGCTCTGTGCTCCAGTCATGGGGTGTGCATGCTCTGCGCTCCAGTCATGGGGTGTGCATGCTCTGTGCTCCAGTCATGGTGGAGTGTTCCCCTGCCCAGCACTGTGTCGTCCATCCCCTGTCACACTGTCAGGCAGGTGAAGTGTCATTACCGCAGCAGGCTTTCTTGTCAGGGCTGTGAGCGGTGGCTGGGCTCTCCACGCCGGGCTCCTCCGTCTTGCTGACCATGTCCTCTGTGCTGCTGCCTGATCGCGCTGGAAGGACAGAGCCGGCCGCTCACACACATACACACGTGGTGCAGCTGTAACCTCTGCCACCCGACCTTCCAGAGCAGACTCTACCGACGGCAGCCGCTGAAGGACAAACTTCCTAGACGCTGCTGAGTCACTGAACGCCTTAAAGGGCCATACTCACTGTCTTGTTTGTTTACATCGAAGTGGCAGACAGCAGCGTGACTGGTGCTCTGTACATTCCTTATACAATATTACACATACAAAGTCCTTAAACAATAGTATTACCGACGAGAATGCATTGCCATTATTAGCAAATGTGTGCCTATTGTTTTGGGATGTATTATGTATGCAATATACATGTATATATTATAAATAGTATACATTATCCTTCCTGCACTTCTGCTTCACACTGAAAGAGAAAAGCAATGAGGTAGCACAGAACAAAGTGCAGTAACCCATAGCAACCAGACCATGTGTCTAGATCAGCCTTTCTCAATAGTTTTAAAAAAGGCGGAACCCATTTGGCGACAAAAACATTGTGCCTTTTCCAGAACTCCAAACTAAATACTCACTCCCATCTTCCGAAATCTTTAGATACCTTCAAGTCAAGAGCTTCATACACGCTAAGGCTAAACTGAGTGGCAATATCCTTTCTCTATCCCCATTTGAAAGGTTTTGTAAACGTGACCCACACTCCCCTGGCATCATCTCAACGCTTTACATTACAACCTTACAGCTGACCCCTTTACCACAACACACATATATGTACCGCTGGCATAAAGACCTGGTCCCAAGTGTGGGCCTCCACCAACTCCTGCTCCACGAGCGCTATAGTACTCAAAACAAACTACAAAGTAATTCTGCGTTGGTATACAACCCCATCTCAGACTCAGTATTTTCTGCCAGACTGCAATGGGTTGTGCTATCGGGGTTGCTCTGACAGCGACACATATATCCATGTGTGGTGGACATGCCCCATTGTTCACACATTTTGGACTAAAATTTTTAGAATGATCTCCACTCTCAAGGGGGTCCATGTCCTACCTACCCCCCAAACAGCATTACTCAATGTCAGACCCACAAATATCTCCCACCACCAATTCAAGTTGCTATTACAGGTCCTCTCAGCAGCTAAACATACCATAGCTAGCTCATGGATTACCAATAAAATTTTCATTCAAACCTCCAAAAATAGAATCCACTGGATTTTCTCAAACGAAAAACTCTCTGCACGCCTAAATGACCAAATGCCAAAATTTGAGAAGATATGGGAACCATGGGTGAAACACTTCCTCCCGCCGACTTTTGACGCCCGATTATTGACTCTTTAACACCCTTTAACACTTCCTAATAACACCTATTCTCTAGCTTACTGCCGACTAGACCATATGTTGGATAGTGCACCACGACTCCCATTGATTCCCTCCCCCCCTCCTTGACCCCCCATCTCTCCACCTCCCCCCTCTTTCCCTATACCTTTCTGTGTGTTTTTTTTCCCCTTTCTCCCTTTCCTTACTTCCCTACTATTAAATGTCTTATTTCCAAGACCCCTGTTGGGATCACCGGTAGGACAAATTCTCACCTTTTCTGCATATAGTTCAGGCGATCGCAATAGAGTACCATGTTTGATGAACATATTTCCTGTTATGATCATTATCTATGTATGAACCATACATGCGCACTATGTTTGAGTGCATGTACTAAATGCTTTGTATTTGTGAAAAATAAAAATCTTTTGAAACTAAAAAGAAAAGGCGGAACCCCTGAAATAGTCAGTGGTGAAGGGCCCCCTTATATTGGTGATCAGTGGAGAAGGGCTCCCTTATATTGGTGGTCAGTGGAGAAAGGCCCCCTTATATTGGTGGTCAGTGGAGAAGGACCCCCTTATATTGGTGGTCAGTGGATAAGGGCCCCGTTATATTGGTGGTCAGTGGAGACTGGTCCCCTTATATTGGTGGTCAGTGGAGAACAGCCCCCAGTATACTGGTGGTCATTTGAAAAGGGCCCCCTTATATTGGTGGTCAGTGGAGAAGGGCCACCGTATATTGGTGGTCATTTGAAAAGGTCCCCCTTATACTGATGGTCAGTGGAGAAGGCCCACCATATATTGGTGGTCATTTAAAAAGGTCCCCCAATCCCGCCATTGTATGTCTGATTGATGGACTGCAGAGATATATTTTTGTGTTGTTGTGAAAAACTTCAATAAACTTTGTTAAAAAACGAAAACAAAAAGGTCCCCCTTATATTGGTGGTCAGTGGAGAATGGCCCCCTTATATTGGTGATCAGTGTAGAAGGGCCCCCTTATATTGGTGGTCAGTGGAGAAGGGCCCCCTTATATTGGTGGTCAGTGGAGAATGGCCCCCTTATATTGGTGATCAGTGTAGAAGGGCCCCCTTATATTGGTGGTCATTTGAAAAGTTCCCCCTTTTACTGGTGGTCAGTGGAAAATGGCCCCCTTATATTGGTAGTCAGTGGAGAAGGGCCACCATATATTGGGGGTCAATGCAGTAGGGCCCCTTATATTGGTAGTCAGTGGGGAAGGACCCCCATATATTGGTGGTCAGTGGAGAAGAACCCCCTTTCATTAGTGGTCAATGGAGAAGGGTCCCCTTATATTGGTGGTCAGTAGAAAATGGCTACATCAAGCTGTGGATGTCTGTATTCCATGAGTGTTGTGCCAGACCATGTCCATTCCGAACCGTGGACCATAGTTGGTCTGAAGGTAGCATGGAATGGGCACTGGAGCAAGGCGTCTGTCCTAAGCTGGAGTATTAGCCATCATCAATGAACCCTGTCATAAAACATTGCATACCATTTCTAGGTTAGTGGTTAAGTGCAACTTCACTGCCACCTAATTAGTATACAGCAAATGACTGCTTTTCATCAAACACACACATTTTGCTTTAAAATGTAAATGGAGTGTCAGTCAAAGTAGCAGAGTGACACTAGGATACAGGCCTATGCAGATCATATGCACATTAAGATGTTGTGCAGCTCTGAAGTGCAATGCAGCCAGTGTTTATCATAGAGGGAAATACATACGGTATACATACGGTATGCCACCAGCATCTGCAGCATCAACAGTTTTAAAGAGGTTTTTACTTTGATTGTGGTCCACCGGAACACACTGCAGCTTCTCCAGACCTGAAACAAAAACCTATAACCCAACGAGCCCTTGAAAGGTGCATGCTGTCCATAAAGCCAATTCATGCAATGCTGGGTAGAAGAAGTCACTAGGTTGACTTCTTCTACTTACACATCATGTCCTTATTGTTCCCCACTTTGCCTCTGTGGTCTTGTGAATGGACTCTGATATAGATCATGAATCATCTCTTGCTTCAGGTCTAGTTGGCTTCTGGTGTAATTTATTACATTTTACCTGAATTCAGCCGGTCAGGACAGTGAAGGAAGAATGGATTGCCTACGACCCTTTAAACCAGGGGTAGGCAAACTCTGGCCCTCCAGCTGTTGTGGGACTACAAATCCCATGAGGCATCGCAAGACTGACAGTTATAGACATCACTCCTAGAGGCAGATGCATGATGGGATTTGTTGTTTCACCACAGCTGGGGGGCCATAATTTGCCCACTCCTGCTTTAAACCCATAATCAAGTCCAAATGAAGCGTCACTAATACTTACATTTTGGGGGTTTAAAGTGCAACTGAAACCAAAAATTTTTTTTTTAGTTTTGGATAGAGTGGAGAGGGATTAGAGCACCTGTAAGGTTTTTATTATTGGCTGTGCTCCTGTAAGGTTAGGTTCACACAGCAGCGATACCCGGAACACGCGATCGTGTGCTAGTGCACACAGCGGTTGCCGCACTACCCTATTGATTTCAATGGAGTGACATCCGCGTGGCAATCGCGACACACGGCATGCTGCTTTTTTTAGCCGTGATCGTGTTCAAATGCACCGGCAGGAAACCATGCGACCCATCTGATGCGACTGGGTGCCATTAGAAAATGTTGTGCACAATTGCCCCGCGGTCAGGAGTCGCCCAGGTGTGAACCTACCCTAAGGGTAGGTTCACACCTAGGCGATTTATCTCACGGATTGAGTCGTGCAATTTCACTCAAAACACAGGTTCGCACTGAAGTCAATTGAGTCTGTTCACACTTTTGCAGTTTGTCACGGGGACTAAATCGCCTGTCACGCAAAAAGGTGCAGGAGCTATTTTTGGGCGGTTGTCGCATGGTTTGGGTCCCATAGACATCTCTATGCATTAAAAACTGTCCGACTACCGCTCGGTTTTCAAAGCGCAGTCACGCAAGCGAAAACGTGAGAACACCACGCAAAAAGAGCTCACCAGCTCAATCGCCTAGGTGTGAACGTAGCCTTAGGGAGATGCGCTCTCTTTATCTGTGTTGGTGACTGTTATCACGGAAGATAGAACCTTTTGGGTTGACTTTAGAACAGAAATAAATGAGGAATCCTCCAATGGGGACACTAGTTCTGGTGATTCTACTGACCACACGGGATTTTCCTCTCTTTGGAGGATTTCCTGTCACTTCCTGTTACAGCTATCAAATAGTATGCGAAGGGAAGTCTACCCACACAGATGGCAAGAAAAAAAAGCTGACAGGGGTTATAACTCCCCCTTATTCTATCCAAAAGTAACTTCTACTTTAAGTATAAAAGTATTTGTTTAGCTTTACAGGTATATAACATACTCTTTATATGTTGGTGATATCAGTCATTTTCCTAATTTCAAACAGCTGCATTGTTTTTTGTTTCTCTTGCAGAATCATGTCTGCTAAAGATCCAAAGTACACCTGAAGGACTGTTTACAACAAACTGTGTACTTTGGACAAGTTAGTTTAGGTGAACTGTGTTAAACAACGGAAGAGATTTGTAACATTTCTCAGCTTTTCCTTTTTTCAAGGTCCTGGTACCGTGCCTTCAGCCCCTTTGTTCTATACCTCTATATGTGTCATCATTTAGTAGCTCCTATGATGTCATCATGACACTTGAGTCCTACATGTGAGTCCTACATTAATTAAAGTATATGTATGGTCTGCAAGATCAAATAGTCTATCTAGATGAATAAAAATTGGACAGTGTTGGTGTTAATGATTAACCAGTAGAGGCCAAGAGAGGTGGGAAACAGAATACTGTGGAAGAGTGAGAGTCT